CCTTAGCCCACTTTTGGATGCGATTTGGGTTTGGTTTGTTCTTGTTTCTCTAGTTCCTTCAAGTATGACCTTAGATTGTCTATTTGTGCTCTTTCAGACTTTTTGATGTAGGCATTTAATGCTATGAACTTTCCTCTTAGTACTGCTTTTGCTGTATCTCAGAGGTTTTGATAGGTTGTGTCACTATCATCATTCAGTTCAAAGGATTTTTAAATTTCCATTTTGATTTCATTATTGACCTAAAGATCATTCAGAAGCAGATTATTTAATTTCCACATATTTGTGTAGTTTTCAAGGTTCCTTTTGGAGTTGCTTTCCAATTTTATTCCACTGTGGTCTGAGAGAGTACCTGATATAATTTCAATTTTTTAAAAATTATTGAGACTTGTGGCCTATCATATGGCCTATCTTGGAGAGTGTTCCATGTGCTGGCGAACAGAATGTATATTCAGCAGTTGTTGAGTAGAACGTTCTGTAAATATCTGTTAAGTCTACTTGTTCTAGGGTATAGTTTAAATCCAGTGATTCTTTGTTGACTTTTTGGCTTGATGACCTGACTCATGCTGTCAGCGGAATATTGAAGTCCCCCACTATTATTGTGTTGCCATCTATCTCATTTCTTAGGTCAAGTAATTATTTTATAAATTTGGGAGCTCCAGTGTTAGTTGTGCATGTTCCCTATTTAGGATTGTGATATTTTTCTGTTGGATCCTTTCATCATTACATAATGTCCCTCTTTGTCTTTTTAAACTGTTGTTGGTTTAAAATCTGTTTTGTCTGATGCAAGACTCCTGCTGCTTCTGGTGTCCATTTGAATGGGCTATCTTTTCCCACCCCATTACCTTAAGTTATGTGAGTCCTTATGTGTTAAGTCTCTTGGAGACAGCAGATACTTGGTTGGTGAATTCTTATCCATTCTGTCATCCTGTATCTTTTAAGTGACACATTTAGGTCATTTCCATACAACGTTAGTATTGAGATGTAAGGTACTATCTATTCACTGTGGTAGTTGTTGCCTGAATGCCTTTTTTTTTTTTTCCATTGTGTTATTGTTTGACAGGCCCTGTGAGATTTATGCTTTAAGGAGGTTTATTTGGTATATTTTGAGGTTCAAGATTTAGGTCTCCCTGCAGCAGTTCTTGCAGTGCTGGCATGGTAGTGGCAAATTCTCTTAGCATTTGTTTGTCTGAAAAATACTTTATCTCTTCTTCATTTATGAAGCTTAGTTTCACTGGATACAACATTCTTGGATGATAATTTTGCTTAAGGATGCTGAAGATAGGACCCGAATCCCTTCTAGCTTGTATTCTGCTAAAATATCTGCTGTTGGTTTGATAGGTTTTCCTTTGTAGGTTACATGATGCTTTCTGCCTCATAGCTCTTAAGCTTCTTTCCTTTGTCTTCACTTTAGGTAACCTGATAACTATGTGTCTAAATGATTACTTTTTGTGATGTTTCCCAGGTGTTATTTGAGTTTCTTGTATTTGGATGTCTAGACCTCTAGCACGGCCAGTAAAGTTTTCCTCGATTATTCCCTCAAGTAAGTTTTCCAAACTTTTAGATTTCTCTTCTTCCTCAAGAACACCAATTATTCTTAGGTTTGGTCACTTAACATAATCCCAGTATTCTTGGAGGTTTTGCTCATTTATTAACAAATTCTTTTTTGTCTTTATCGGATTGGATTAATTTGAAAACCTTGTCTTCAAGCTCTGATGCTCTTTCTTCTACTTGTTCGATTCTGTTGTTGAAACTTTTCATGTATTTTGCATTTCTCTAAATGTGTCTTTCATTTCCAGAAGTTGTGATTGTTTTTCATTTATGATATATATTTCTCTGGAGATCTTTTCATGCATATGTTATTATTTTTAAAATTTCTTTAATTTGGTTTTCACCTTTCTCTGTTACCTCCTTAAGTAACATAATAATCGACTTACCTTTAGAACTCTTTTTCTAGTAATTCAGAGATTTATTCTTGGTTTGGATTAATTGCTGGTGAGCTAGTATGATCTTGTGGGGGTGATAAAGAACCTTGTTTTGTCATATTACCAGATTGTTTTTCTGGGTCCTTCTCATTTGGATAGACTATGTCAGAGGAAAGATCTGAGATCCAAGGACTAATGTTCTTTCGTACTGCAGAGTGATCCCTTGATGTGGTGTTCTCCCTCTTCCTGAAAGCCAGACTGCAGTGATTGTTACTGTTCTTCTGGGTCTAGCCACCCAGCAGAGCTACTGGGCTCTGGGCTGGTACTGGGGGGGTGTCTGCAAAGAGTCCTGGGATGTGATCTGTCTTCAGGTCTCTCAGCCGTGGATACCACCACCTGTTCTGGTGGAGGTAGCAGGGGAGTGAAATGGACTCTGTGAGGATCCTTGGTTGTAGTTTTGTTTAGTACACTGGTTTTCTCAAATGTTGGTTATGCTGCCAGTGAAGTTGACATGTGGACAGACTCAGGACCTCTGGTTAAACAGGATGTTACAGGTAATGGAATTAGATGTTGTCTTCTCCTTCCTTGGAGCAGGGCTGTTCTGAGTCGCTGTAACAGCTTGAGTTGGTTGGCCTCCAGCCAGGAGGTGGCACTTTCAAGAGAGCATCAGCTGTGGTACTATAGGGGGGATATAAACTTGCCCTGAAATCACCTGCATAAGTATTCAGGTTTATCAGGTGATGGAGGGGGCCATGGAGCTCTCATGAGTTTATGTTTTCTATCTTCAGCTACCAGGTAGGTAGAGAAACACTGTGATAGTTAATACTGAGTGCCAACTTGATTGGACTGAAGAATGCAGTATTGATACTGGGTGTGTCTTTGAGGGTGCTGCCAAAGGAGATTAACATTTGAGTCAGTGGGCTGGGAAAAGCAGACCCACCCTTAATCTAAGTGGGCACAATCTAATCAGCTGTCAGCTCCGCCAGAATAAAAAGCAGGCAAAAGAACATAAAAAGACTAGACTGTCTTAGTCTCCCATCCTACATTTTTCTCCCGTGCTGGATGCCTCCTGCCCTCAAACATTGGACACCAAGTTATTTAGCTTTGAGACTCGGACTGGATTCCTTGCTCCTCAGCTTGCAGGTGGCCTATTGTGGGACCTTGTGATCATGTGAGTTAATACTCCTTAATAAACTCCCATATATATATTAGTTCTGTCCCTCTAGAGAACCCTAATACAAACCATAAGGTGGAGGAATGGTTAGGCATGTCTGAGCTCAGACTCTCCTTGGGCAGGGCTTGATGAAAACACTGTGGAGTGGATATGGGTGGGGGCAGTTCTCAGGGCCATGAAATTATGTTCGAAGGGGAATTATGGCTGCCTCTGCTGCTTCATACAGGTCTCCAGAAAAGTGGGGGAAGGCTGGCAGTGGCAGGCCTCACCCAGCTCCCATGCAGCCAGCAAGGTCAGTCTCACTCCTGCTATGCTCCCCCAACGGCCAACAGAGCTGAATTTATATCCAGATCTCTGGTATGCAGGGCTGAGATCTATGTAAATACATATAATATATATATATATTTATCCATATAAACCTTTAAAGCTTCCTAAGAAATATTCTGTAACTTAAAACCAGCTGAGTGCAAAACCATAAATTCATACACTGTTAGAGTTGAAAGGGAGTTTAAAAATTGTTAAATACAACAGAAACATGGGTCAAGTACAAGTAAATTTAAAGGACACAAGCAGTTAAAACTTAAATGGAAATTAAAGCCCCTAGTTACTGACTCAGATTCAGTAACTCCCAAAAGAATAATGTTATCCAGACTTTGCAGAAATTCTTTGGATTTGGTTTTAAGTATGCTATGTTAAAGCAGTAAGACTGAATTAATAACTGATACAAATGACAATGACCACTGTAATATGCATCTTTATTTTACAACCACTTTTTAGTAATTCCCTTCATTCTGAAATAAAAAATACACATAAAAAACTTTTTAAGTTACTAAATCAATATGTTCTCAAAAAAAATGAGGAAGACCAATGGATATGATATAGGACAAAATATAATAAAACTTTCCAGGGATTGTGGGAAAGATTATAAAAAGATAATAGATCTTTTGTTTTTGATCCAATTTATGTATGTAGAATTCTTTGGCATTCTAAGCTAGAATTTTTAGTTCATAATTAGATGATTCATATTATAACTAAATGCCTTTATGTTTCCTAAAAAAGTAAGAGTTAATGCAGATAATGGGTAAAAGAAAATTTCAAGCAATTAAAATGTTTTCCAAAGACATAGCCACTACACACACACACACACACACACACACACACACACGTATAAAGCAATATTATACTATATTTCTTTTATTCCTCTTCAAGTTTTAAATAATCCTTATTTCTTAAATGAAAAATATTTCCCAAATTCCAAAATATTCTTTATTATAATTTTTCATAAACTCTTACAAAAATGATAACATATTACAAAACTTTACAGGGCTTCCATACAATATGTTTAAAAATGTGATGAACAGCATGTTTAAAACTATTTTAAAAGGAGGTCAAGTCTGACCTCTAGGCCATGAAGCACTACATTAACAGCTCTGCAGAAAGGAAAATGATAAGGTATGAAATGAATGCTCAGAAACTAGGACCTTATCAGTTAGAATATGATTCAAGCCTGTAAGACAAATTGCTCAGCAAGGCAAGTCACCTTCCCGCTGTGATGAGGATATAGCTGAATTTTCAGTGCCAATGACTATCTCCCTCATTGTGTCACCTAGTTTGATATCATACAGTCAAGGAATGGCATACACTTCTGAAGCATCTACCACTTATTTTGAATACATTTTGTCAAAGTCACCAACTAGGATATTATCTTTGTCCTTTAACTGACAACTTAGTGTTAAAAATCTTTAAAGAATAATCACTAAAAGAAACTACTGTGAGTTGACCCTTCAAAGCATGAAAGTTATTTGTTATCTGAATCATTTTAACAGCTTGCTTGGTTTTAAAAATAAAATGTATGGCATAAAAATTAAGCAAAGTCCACAAACTGTCTTACTTTAATTGCATACCTGAACACTGATGGACTTTTTCAGCAGTTCTTCTACAAAGTTCCAATTTGATTCTACTTTTCTCTAGAAAGGAAGTAAACAGTAGTGTATCAAAATTATTGCTCTTGATTATGCCCATATTTAAAATTAGAATATAGCAAATTAAGTGTGCAGTACATTTTCCTCTATCATTCAGCATCAATGTAATTTCTTGAATTTCTAATATTGTTTTGGTAAAGAGTTAACGAACTTGGCAGAAAAAAATGTACAACTATTCCAATCCAATACAAACCATATCAGGAGTTGTAACAGTGGTGCTTTAGTAAGATTATAAATATTCTACCAAATATTTCATTTCTGCTTTCAGATACAAAATCCAACAGAAAAAAAAAAACATTATATATCTACATGTATTTTTGTTTTTTTTAATGCTGAGTAATCATCCCTATTTTCCACTTTAATCACCACAGCTTTTTCCTTCATTTTATGAACAATAAACCTGAGACCATCTACTTTAGTAAACAAAGTAACTAAAAATTTTATACAGAAAATAAAGAAAGCTTTACACGGTCCTACCTCATTTAGCTAATGGCCACCTATTTGACAACCTCGACTGTCTAGAATGATCTCCATGATAAGGAAGAAAGCTAAAAAGGATTTTCACAAAGTCTAAGTAGGAACTTAAAACAATTCCACATTTCCAAAAGGAAAGCCTGGATGACATTCTCAGAGGACACTCAGTTCACTTAATATTCAGTTCTTAAAGTTCTGGATATGTGGATACTGGACAAAACCAAAAGCAAAGAAAGCATTTTAAAGAATAAGCAAGTAATAACCAGTTTCTAATGTGGAGGGGGAAAAAAGGTATAAAAAGTAATCATGGCCGGGAGCAGTGGCTCACATCTATAATCCCAGCACTCTGGGAGGCCGAGGAGGGTGGATCACCAGTTGGAAAGCAGCCTGGTCAACAGGGTGAAACCATGTCTCTACTAAAAATATAAAAATTAGCCAGGTGTGGTGGCGGACGCCTGTAATCCCAGCTACTCGGGAGGCTGAGGCAGGAGAATTGCTTGAATCTGGGAGGTGGGGGTTGCAGTGAGCCAAGATCATGCCACTGTGCTGTGGCCTGGGTGACAGAGCAAGGCTTCATCTCAGACAAAAAAAAGGAAATAATCATAAGACCTCAAAAAGAAAAACCTGAGGCCTTAAAAAGTAGAAGGCCTTCATCATACCCTTCTTATCCCTGTTATAAAGAATATGATGTTCACAGGCATGAACTCAAATGATCAATAAAGTGTTAACTCATGATTTTAAATGGCTAGATGATATTCATATAAAATGCTAACTATAGTAAATCACTAAATAAATATTTTCTTAATAAAGAGCATACTGAGTATGGTAGTCGGCCTCTAAGATGTCCCCCAATAATCCTTGTCTCCTGGAATCTACACTTTCTACAATCCCCTCTCACACTGTACTAGGGTTGGTCACTAACAGACTACCAATACCAATATGAGTGATAGTATGTCACCTCCAAGAATAGGTTACAAGACACTGAAGCTTCCATCTTCATGATACTCTGACCTGTTAATCTGGAAACAGCTGTGTTGTGAACAGCACATATGATGAGAAACTGAAGCATTCTGCCAACAAAAAAAATAAAGCTGAAAGCAAATTCTACAGTTCCAGTTAAATCTTCAGATACTGAAGCCCTGGCTGATAGCTTCACTGCAACCTCAGGAGAGACCCTGAGCTAGAACCACCCAGCTAAGCTTTTCCTGAATGCCTGACTCAGAAATTGAGAGTGTGAGATAATAAATTTTTGTTTTAAGCTGATACTTTTGTGACACAGCAATAGATTACTAATACAATGATTTATTTTTAGCAAAATTATTGACTTTTTGACATACAAAAATAAAGTGAATGCAAAAAAACATTTATTGGGAGAAAACGTGGAGTAAAGAATTTGGCCTTGCCCAAAGAAAAGACCTGGCCTGCTGGGCGCAGTGGCTCACTCCTGTAATCCCAGCACTTTGGGAGGCCGAAGCAGGCGGATCACTTGAGGTCGGAAGTTTGAGACCAGCCTGGCCAACATGGTGAAACTCCATCTCTATTAAAATACAAAAATTAGCAGGGTGTGGTGGTGCGTGCCTGTAATCCCAGCTACTCAGGAGGTTGAGGCAGGAGAATTGCTTGAACCTGGGAGGCTGAGGTTGCAGTGAGCCAAGATCACGCCATTACACTCCAGTCTGGGCAACAGAGGGAGACTTCGTCTCAAAAAAAAAAGAAAGATCTGGCCTTTGACCCTAGCTTTCTGGAGGTCATCTCTGGGTCCTGGGAATGTTATACCTGATCGTAGCATCTTTGTTTGACTAGGGTCCTATGGTCATACTGGATAATCTAACAATGTGATAGAGAGTGAAGGTTGGACACATCCACATAGTCTTAGCTTAGGGTCTGGTCATGCCCAAAAGACCAACAATGTGACTCAGGCTGGGGGCTTTGAGTCAGCTGACTTAGAAACTGAAATCAGCCATGTGAGCAATTCAGTAGTCCATGCCTACATAATGGAACTCTCATAAAAACTATGAACACTGAGGCTTGAGTGAGTACCCCTGTTTTGCAACACTCCCTGCATACTGTCACACACTGATGCCAGGAGACGAATGTGGCCTGACTCCATGAAGAGAAAACAATAGAAGGTCCACATCTGGTACTTCTGGACTCTGGCCTATGCCCTTCTTCCCTTGGCTGATGTTAATTTATATCCTTCCCCTTTAAGAAAACAAAATAATAGCTTTCAGTGAGTTCTGTGAGTCCTAACAAATTATCAAACTAAGGTAGTTTTGGGAACCCCGAGCTTGCAACTGGTGTCAGAAGTAAAGACAGTCTTAGGGACTGTCCTCTGAAACTTGGTAGTTGGCACTAAAAGTCTCTCTCAAAAAAAGATCATTTTATTCTATCAATACTGTATGTTCACTGTGTCAGGTTCTTGACATATTACTTCCTCAAAAAAATTTCCCCATTTCACAGAAAACATAATTAAGTCTCAGAAAGGTCATGTATGTACGAGTCAAAGAATGAATTCAAATCCAAGGTTATCTGGCACCAAAGCCTGTATTTCTTCTATTATAACATGTACCAGTAACCAATTTTTTTTTCCTTAGCATGCCTTCCCTCAGATTTCAGCAATTCATTTTTGTATCATTCTTTATTAAGAAAATGTCACCTCCAGTGCCAAGTGAGAAGGGCCATGACAGGGTTGATGTAATTTAAGTTTTAGCTTTATAACTGGATAGTGTTGAGTATATTTCAATCATTCAGTGTTATCAAAGCATTTGAATCACAAGAATTATAGAAAAACAGTATAATTCTCACCCAAGGAATTTCAACTATATAAATCAGTTTTGTGGGTATAATCTAAAACAAAAATAAACTGCAATTCAAATAAAAGAATGGCAACTACATCATGCCCAAATCAAATGTAAGAGAATATGTATCAAAGAGATATAGATTTTTCTTGCACAATAAAATTTCACTTTGGGAAGCTACAACATGTTTTTCTTCTACATACCAAGTTAAATCTGCTGACAGAAAGGAGGTAGAATGTCATCAATTTGAGGCTACATTTTATATTCCTTATCTCACCATTAAAACTAAGACACCCATTTAAGCTTTAGTATAGGTAGGATCTCTACCAGACATGTAAAACAGATCCTCCACCCTCGACTTCCAGCAGACTAGGTAGTCTGGTGCAGCTCTCATTTTAAGGTTACATTTCACATTTTTATCTGGTTACTATTTCAGATGTTTCAAAGACAAGCATCAGCTAGCCTGACTAATTGCATTATGTTCTGGGTACAGAAAACACTGTTAAAACTGACCCCCTGCAATGCCCAGAAGTAATTTTCCTCTTTAAACTGTATTTGGTTTTAAAATAGATGACCAGAATTGTGAGAGAGTAACCCACTCTCATCTTGGCTGAGAGAAAAGCATTAAACAGAAATGTATGAAAATTTAATGACTCTAATATAAAAAGTGAGATCCCAAATTTTTCTTATAGGCCAACACTAAGAAATGGGCTAGCTTTGTGAGTTAAATCCATTATAGCTTTGTGATTTAAATCCACTATAGGTTTACATTTTAAACCTATTTAAAATGTAAAGATTTCACATTAACCTTCAGGGTAAAGCAGTTCACTTTTAAAAACAAACATTGCCACACTGCCACAAGATTATAGATATTTCTCTGGTGAAGAACATATGACTAGCCATTATTATTTCATATCATCTCTCACTCCAGATTACTTATTAGAATAAAGCATGCTTACTGCACAACCATTTTCTCTATTGTAGTTGGTTATATTAATATATATCATAAGGAGAAAAAAAATTTTCAAAATTCTAAATAGATCCCAGACCCAAATTAACATCTTATATAATCTCTCAGAAACAATACATCAATATGCCTTTATGTTCATAGATTAGAATTACTGTCTGATTTGTCAATTAAACTGAAACACTTTGAGGATAAAAGAAAAAATTAATCAGTTAGGATAAATAGACAATAAGGTATAAAGTAGGACTGTCTGTACCTGGCAAAATGGAACACATGGTTACCCTACCGAAGACCTATTCGTAAGAGGCAATCCTTAGGAGAACTCTAATATCAAGTTTATCTAAGAGATAAAATAGGGGTGATATTTAACCACCGTGTATCTCAATTTCTTGACCGGTAAAATGAATATATTATCCTCTTGCCTACTTTGGAATATTTCACTGAGATAATACAGTCACTGTGAAATATTAAATACGTTGCAAATACAGCATATATTTTAACCCAAATGAAAACTATTATTAACTAGAGAGCTTGTTTTTCTTTAAAAGCCTTTAAGAAACCCAGAAATATTTAAAACTCTTTGAGGACTCATATATAAAGGCAAAGTTTATTTTACATGTGCATATACACATACATATTTCACATCCTCATCATTTTTATCATATCCTTTTTATAATAATTACCAGGGCCTTTGTTTTTAAAACCTTCTACATAAAATATGTGATTTTTAAAAATCTTGGCAAAAGAAAATCACACAGGAACTGCTGACAAATACAAAAGACATGAGTTAAACTATTTTAAACACAGACAATTCATTTACTATCTTGATTCAGAGCTAATAAAAGCAATAATCTCCTCTGGAGTTCTCTATGAAATAGAAGAGTAGGGCTAGGCATGGTGGCTCACGCCTGTAATCCCAGCACTTTGAGAGGCCAAGGTGGGCAGATCATGATGTCAGAAGATCAAGACCATCCTGGCTAACACAGTGAAACCCCGTTTCTACTAAACATACAAAAAATTAGCCGGGTGTGGTGGCGGGCGCCTGTAGTCCCAGCTACTCGGGAGGCTGAGGCAGGAGAATGGCGTGAACCCGGGAGGCGAAGCTTGCAGTGAGCCAAGACTGCGCCACTGCACTCCAGCCTGGGAGACAGAGCGAGACTCCAACTCAAAAAAAAAGAAAAAAGAAAGAGAAGAGTGATTTCAGCACTGCAACCATGGGTGGTTATATCAGTGCAATTCAATATTACAATAGCAATAGCAATGATATATATTAATGTGACTAGATTGTCTACCACACTGAGAATATCTGGGGGGTCAATATCAACTAATATTGAAATATACTATGCATTCAAATAACTGTTTATACAGTTCCACCAAGTATTAATAATCTAAAAGCATGTTCCTTGAAGCAAGAAGTAGTACAATCTGGCAGGGCGTGGTGGCTCACTTCTGTAATCCCAGCACTTTTCAGAGGCCAAGGCAGGCAGATCACCTAAGGTCAGGAGTTTGAAACCAGCCTGGCCAACATGGTGAAACCCCATCTCTACTAAAAATACAAAAATCAGCTGGGTGTGATGGTGTGTGCCTGTAATCCCAGCTACTCGGGAGGCTGAGGCAGGAGAATCGCTTGAACCCGTGAGGCAGAGGTTGCAGTAAGCCGAGATCACGCCACTCCACTCTAGCCTGAGCGACAGAGTGAGACTCCGTCTCAAAAAAAAAAAAAAAAAAAAAAAAAAAAAAAGTAGTACAATCTATTTCATGTGTATCCTCCGATAGGCACCTAGTATTATGCTAATACATAACAGAAACTCAGAAACAACTAATTGCCATATTTACTTACATTGATTAAAATGAGAAATATATACTTGGAGGAACTAAAGTTAAAAAGGAAGAGAAATGCAAATGCTTATATTATGACCTTAGAATTACAAGTAAATTTTCTTAATTCCTTTAATATTGTTCTAATATTCTAATAATTAAAAAAACTGAAATCACATTAACTCCACAAAAACGCTTAATAAAAGCACTACAGTAATAGTGTCAATTGCTAAAATTTATTATTTGCTCTGTATTAGCATGGTACATAATCATGGATATAAACAAAAAACACACAATTCTTTTCTGTGAGAAGTTCATTGACTTTTCTCAATAAATTAGTAGAATACTCAAATACACTGCTACTGGGCTGTGTGTGAACTCCTCACAGCAATTTCTGACTATTTCACTGTATTCTGGGATCTCCTACACGACCTTTTATTATTAGGGGAATTATTTAGAGGACTTTTTGAGACCCTTTCCATTTCTATGATGCTATATTAATACTAACTAACCCTCAGATTCCATGAATGACTTCTCAAAGCTGGGTCTATCCAATATTCCAAAGAGGAAAATCTATCAAGCCTATCAAAGAATATGTTTCATAAAGCAATGGTTCCCAAACCTCATAGAGGATGAGAACCAAGGAACTTTTTAAAAATCAGGATTTCCACAGTTGAGATCTAGATATCTGGATTTTTTTTTTTTGGATGGTGTCTCACCCTGTTGCCCAGGCTGGAGTGCAGTGGTGTGATCGGCTCCCTGCAACCTACGTCTCCCGGGTTCAAGCAATCCTCCTGCCTCCGTCTCCCAAATACCTGGGACTACAGGTGTGTGTCACCATGCCCTGCTAATTTTTGTATTTTTAGTAGAGACAAGGTTTCACACCACGTTGGCCAGGCTGATGTCGAACTCCTGATTTCAAGTGATCCACCCGCCTTGGCCTTCCAAAGTTCTGGGATTATAGGCATGAGCCACCGCAGCTGGACTAGATACCTGGATTTTTTATTTTTTTATTTTTATTTATTTATTTATTTATTTATTTATTTATTTATTTATTTTTTGAGACGGAGTCTCACTCTGTCGCCCAGGTTGGAGTGCAGTGCCCGGATCTCTGCTCACTGCAAGCTCTGCCTCCCGGGTTCACACCATTCTCCTGCCTCAGCCTCCCGTGTAGCTGGAACTACAGGCGCCCGCCACCGCACCCGGCTAATTTTTTGTATTTTTAGTAGAGACGGGGTTTCACTGTGTTAGCCATGATGGTCTTGATCTCCTGACCTCGTGATCCGCCCGTCTCAGCCTCCCAAAGTGCTGGGATTACAGGCGTGAGCCACCGCGCCCGGCGATACCTGGATTTTTTAAAACTCACAAGTAAGTCTAATGATCAGCCAGGTTTGGGAACCACTGCCATAAAAAAGACCAATTTTGAAAATATAGACAAACTGGCTTCATGATTCTAGATGTTTATTTTATGGAGCTGATAGGCTGATATAATAATATAGTACTATTAATTTCTGAATATGGTAGAAATTGTATAAAAATAGGTCTTCAAAGTATACATCTGTTAGCTGACTTTATTCATGGGGTTTTAAAGTAACACTGTAAAAAATGTTTCGAATGAGAAATTAATATATTAGTTAAAATCTCTTCCTATTTGAAGCAAACTTCATGGTTGTTTAATAAATTATCTTAGCAAAAAGCTTCACTAAAGAAGTGCTATTCTGAAGTACTTTTACTAAATTATTCATAAAAATAAGCAATTCATTCCTCAAGAAATTTATTTGCCAATCATAACAGATTTTAAAACTACAAAGAACCTTTGTGACAATCCAATCCCATGATTTTTTTTAAGGGAAAACAAGACCGGAAAGGTTTAAGTAATTTGCTCAGGGTCACACAACTGTTCAGTAGCAGGGCCAGGACTACATATCAAATCTTCTACAAATTATTTTTTTTAATTAAACAATTAAATCATGAACTTTATAATTTTTCAAGATGTTTACAGAAACATTATACATGGATATAAATAATTTATCTGTGATTGTAGTCTGATTTTTTCCTGTTCCTGCTCACTTATCTTCTAATTTGTCCAAATAATTACGTATTAATTCACAATATAAGAAAGTTTTTTAAAAAATGTAGGCTTACCATTTCATCTGGTACTCCATGGCGATCAAACTGGTAAAATGATGCTACATGAGTAATAATCCACCAACTAAAACCTAATGGATCCCTGGACTGGATTACAGGCACAGAGGGTCTTCTTTGGTCACTTGATTTTTCAAGCAGTGTTTTAAGTAGTTTATTCAACCAGTTCCAAAATGACTATAGAAACAGAGGTAATTTGATTCCATTAAATTAAGACAGTTTCAATAACTTTTGATTTAGTGGTTTTTCTCCATTTTTATAATGAAGCATACATACAAAAGACAAAATACATATATGAAACTTAAATAATAAAAATACCCAGGTTAAGAATCAGAACATAAATGGTACTTTAGAAGTACCTTACATGTCACCACATCTTCTTCCTCCATCCAGTGGTAACAATTTTGCTGACTTTCATGATAAATCATTGATTTATCATTTATCATGATAAATCATGATAAAAAAGCAAGGGCTTTTTTGTTTTGCCACACAGGTATACCAGTCTATATTACATATTGTGTGGTTTCATCTGTATTTTGTTTTTTTTAAATGCATGTCTGTATTCTCAAGCAGCTTATTTCTAATTCTTTTGTAACTTGCTTCTTTTGGTCAACGCTACGTTTCTGAACTCATCTATATTAATGAAAACAGCCATAGCTCATTGCAATATTCCAGTATATGACTATATGATAAAACATTTATTCAATCTACTATTGCAGAACATTTAGTGAGTTTTAGGTTTTTCTAGGTATTTTATGTAAACGTTCAGGTTATTAGACATAAAGTTGTCGACAGTATCTCTTACTTTTCTAATGTATACAGAAACTGAAGTCATGTTTCTTTTTATATTTCTAGTATTGAGTATTTTTGTAATCGTAAATAAAATTGGTCAATTTTAGGTATCAATTTGAGGACCCAACTTTTGGCTCATTTTATCTTTTTCATTGTTTTAATCTCATAATTTTTTGTTAATTTTTTAATTGCATTCCTTTTACTTTCTTTGGATTTACTATGAAGGGCTTATTGCTAACATCTTGAGATAAATTCTTAGTTCATTAATTTTCAATCTTTTTCTCCTGTATTTGCATATAAAGTTACAAATTTCCCTCTAATTATAACTTTAGCTGTAGTTCCAAAACTTGTCTATAGAATGTTACTTACTTCAGAATATTTTATAATTTCCATCATCTCTTCTTTAATCTATGAGTTATTTAGAAATATATTTCATTATTTCTATGCATGTGTATTTCTCCTTGAAAATCTGTCCATTTTAAATTGCTATGGTTAACACCATGTTATTAGCCACTACAAATTTAAATTTATATTACTGATAAAGTAAACCTTTCATCACTATAAAGTAACTTAATGCTTTTTTGTTTTAAAGTCAAAATTTTTCCAATATTTAATACATCACCTTCTTGTATCTTTTCTATCCATTTTGAACCTTGATATATTGTTTTAAATATGCCTCTTGTAAACCAGCTTACAATCTATCCTGACAATACGTCTTTTAAATGGAGCTTTTAGTAGTACCATTGCAGGTAATATAATGACTAATACATTTAGTTTTAAATCTACAATCTTATTGCATATTTCTATTTGTATACCTACTGTATCCACCAACACCTCCTTCTCTAGGGTTGAATATTTATTTTTTCCCCATCTACCTGCTTGGAAGTTAAAAAGTTCAATTTTCTTCTTTTAGTGATGATCTAAGAAATAAACAGCATATATCCAAATGTCTTAGTAAGTTAATATAGACCTTTCTCTTAGAACAAACAAGAACCTTAAAAGACTCTAGCTCATTTATGCCCTACTAACTTTAGATGCTACTATTACTATATGCTTCAGCTCTATTTTTTAATTCCAATACATTATATTACTGATTTATACAAAACATGAAACACTTTCTTTGCTCTTTATTTCTTCTACGTGTCAGAATTCCCATTTAGTCATCAGCATTTTTCTGCCTAAGGATTCCCTTCGATCTCGCTTCAATGAAAATAGCTTTATTTTATCTCACTTTTTAAAGATATTGATAGGTAAAGAATTTTAGGTTGACAAACATTATTTTGATACAATAAGGATATCATTCCCACTGGCCTCCATTGTTGTTGAAAAGTCAGCTGTCCATTTGATTGTCACTCTTTTAATAGTGTTATATTGGCCAGCTGTGGCAGCTCACACCTGTAATCATAGCACTTTGGGAGGGCAAGGCAGAAGGATTGCTTTGAGACCACCCTGGGCAGCCCAGAGACCCTATCTCCACAAAAAAATAAATTAGCTGGGTGTGGTGGCATGCGCTTGTACTCCCAGCTACTAAGGAGTTTGAGACAGGAGGATCACTTGAGTTCAACGGGTTGAGGCTGCAGTGAGTTGTGACCACACCACTGCACTCCAGACTGGGTGACAGAGTGAGACCTTCTCTCTTAAAATAAAATAAAGTAACACATTTCTCTGTCTGATGCTTTAAATTTCTTCTCTTTGTGTTTGGTCTTCTGTAATTCCACTGTGATGCATCTGGGTGTATTTTTTCTTTTTATTTACCCTATGTGCGTTCCTTGAATTTATCTGACTAGCTTTCATTAACATTTGAAAATTTTCAAGTCATTTTTTTCTTCAAATATTTTTGTTGTTCCACTTCCTTTTTAACTATAGTTAGAAGTATATCAGACATCCTCTCTATTCTTAATGTCTCTTAACCACTCTTTCATGTTTTCCATCTTTTGTTTTATTGTGAATAACAGATCTTATTCAAAATTAGTCTACTATACCATTATGCAGCAATCATAAGATGCATTTAGCTATCACATCATTTAATCTGTTAGTTTCTTCAGCTTCCTTTAATCTGTAAGAGTTCCTCAGATTATACCATTCATAAGCTTCATATTTTTTAAGAGTATATCAGATATTTAGGTTTGTCTGATATTACGCATTTTATTCTTTTTTGTTGTTGGGGGAGAGGGTCTCACTCTGCTGCCCAGGCTGCAGGGCAGTGGTGCAAAACTCTGGGCTCAAGTGATCATCCCACCTCAGCCTCCCAAGTAGCTGGGACCACAGGCATGCCACCACCACACATAAGTAATCTTGTTTATTTTTTGTAAAGACGAGGTCTCTACGTTGCCCAGTCTTGAACTCCTGGGCTCAAGCAATCCTCCCACCTAGGACTCCCAAAGTGCAGGGGTTACAGGTGTGAGCCACCATACCTGGCCTACTTTTGTACTTTCAAGGCATCATACTGGTGGCACATGATATCAACCGGTCCTATTAATAGTTAACTTTGATTACTTGATTAAGGTAGTACCTGCCACATTTTCTGTACTACAAAGTTATTATTTTCCCTTTTATAATTGATAAATATTATGTAAAGATCTTAGCAAACTATGTAAATGTGCTGTTTTTCATCAGTTTTGTCCACTCCTTTAATCATCCATTGAGGATTCTTGCCTGAAACAATTACCATGGAGTTTGTCAAATGGTGATTTTCCAATTCCATGACTCTACATCTATTAGGAAGAGTTTCCCTTTTCCCAATTTATTTATATCAGTAGGGACTCACATATTCCTACTGAACAGATTACAATCCCTTACTATTTTGTAGCTCAACAGTAATGGAGACCAATGGGAATGATATCCTTACTGTATCAAAACAATATTTGTCAACCTAAAATTCTTTACCTATTAATCTCTTTAAAAAGTGAGGAAAAATAAAGCTATTTTAGCCTATAGACCTTAATGTTGACTCTAGTGTCCTTCTGACATGTACTCATCATTTTTTGAGCACTTCCTTAGTTTCTGGTACAAGATGTTTCAGGCTTATGTTTACTTTCCATGCTTCATCCTGTAATCGGCCCTTTGGTCAGACTCTTGTTTCCTTTCACTACAGAATAGTTATTTTGAAACTAAGATATAGCTGCAATGTGTATACTATTACTCAGGATCATTGCTTGTAAGCCCACCCAGTGAAAAAGGTAGGAAATGGATGCATGCACACACACATATACATTTATACATGGTCCTATATATTAAAAAGAAGTATTTCATACTATATCAAATTCTAATCCAAAATATTGTGGTTCATGCTGGTTTTTCTTCTTTCCATATGTATAACTCAATTTCCCAACACAGACAAACCTGACTCCAATTACACACGATGTATTTATTAATTTGTCCAATCCAAGAATACAAATATAATAGATTTTAAATTGTTAATCTTCACATAACAATGTAAAAAACAAATCTCCTAAGTGAAATATTTACAGTTCTTTATGATTCTTTTGTCTTTAGCCTTATAGTAGTGTCAAAATAGTACATTCTAAAGTTACCTGGGTTAGTACTGCCAATCTCCACAAAGAGTGTTATTCATTTAAAATACATTTAAGTTTAATTGTTTCTGTTATATTCCACCGAGTGCACCTTTCATACAGATTGATTTAATTTTGGGGCATGTGAAACATTAACATGATTCTAAAGTCAGAACTACCCAAATAATTACATCAAACCCTTCCACTCCATTTTCACCCATCCATCTTCATTTTTACCCACCTATCTCAATAGTTTGTCTTTCCAGTATTTGTGCACAATTGAATATATATACACACACACACATTTCCTTTTTCCTAATTTCTTATACAAAAGGTAACATCGTCCTATAAATATTGTTTTGAACTTTGTGTTACTTAACAATACATTCTGCAACTCACTTCATATCAGTTCAGATATCTTACTCATTCTATTGCATAACTATAAATAGAATCGTTAATTTTATGTGTCAATTTGAGCAGCCCACAGGATGCCAAGATATTTGGTTAAATATTATTCTGGGTGTGTCTATAAAGGTTTTCTGGTTGAGAGTTACATTTTAATTGGTAGACTGAGTAAAGAGATTGCCCTCTCTAATATGTGTGGGTGCCATCCAATCCATTAGTGGCCTGAATACAACAAAAAGTCATACTGAGGGTGGAGAAGACACCCTGTGCTTCATACTGAAACACTGTTCTTTTCCTGCCTTCAGACTTGGACTCAAGACTGGAAATTACACCATTGGCCTTCCTGATTTGCAGACCTTTGGACTGAGACTGGAAACTATACCATCAGCTCCTCTGGGTCTTCAGCTTGCCAATCTCAGATTCGGGACTTCTTAGCCTCCATAACTCTGTGAGCCAATTCATTATAATAAATCCAAAAATCTATATATCCTATGGGCTCTGTTTCTCTGGAGAACACACACTAATACAGAATAATACTTCAGAGTACAGATAGACCATGGTTTGCTCAACCACTCTTTTATACATGAGAATTTAGATAGTTTCTACTATATTACTATAAAAACAATACTGCAATAAATAAACGTATGCATATGCATTTTAATTTTGGAGGGTATACATTTAGAGTAAATGCCTGGAAGTGGGATTGCTAGGGTCAAAGTTACAAAATCCTTGGCGCACACTTTTTCATTGAGTCATTTTAAATGCTGCATTCAGACCTTGCTTTAAGTTGACTTTGCAAGTCTAGTGTCAATAAAATTATTTTGCTCTTATAAGTTGTTCAGTCTTTGTGCCTAGAGAACTTGGAGATTTTTTTCTTTATGTTTAAAGTGAAACAGTTTTAGTAGGACCTGTCTTTGGGTGGATTGCTTAGGGTTAATCTTTCAAATTATCCAGTAGGCCTTTTCAATATATAGATTTAGATCTTTTATTTCTGGGAAGTTTCCTTTGATTATAGTTTTTAATATTAGCTATATCACATTGTTTTCTAGGGATTGCATTTATATGTACAGTTATTTCATCTCTATCTTCCACCTCAACCATTTTCTCACTCTCTTTATATTTATCTCATTTTTATTCCCTTAGTTGTTTTTCTTTCTTCTATGCCCCTTATTAAATTTTCATTTAAGTCTATTCTCCCTTAGTCATCTTGTAATTTAGTCAATTCTGATATAATTTTCCTCTTCCTATTTCTTTCCTACATTCAATGTATTCTTTCCATCCAACCCGTTTTCTGTCCATTTGTTTTTAACATTTGAGTATCTTATTCAAGGTGTTTTTCTATACCCCCAGATGTAGTCTGAACAAATTAATTCAATCTACAATGCTGTCATTTTCTTCTGTTTTATACAGTTGTTTCTGGGGGAGAGGGTGCCATCAAGTAAAGTATATCAAATCTGTTTTTTTCTAGTAAGTTTATAAGGGTCTAGTTTCATTCCGTTCATTTTGTAGATTAGGACTAGCTTAAAAGATTCTTAATTTAGGGGCACCTTCTTTTGACAATGCACCAAAGTCCCATTTTCCCATTTCTTTACCGAATTTTTTTTTTTTTTTTTTTTTGGTGGTGGGAATGGGTATGAGTCCTTTCATTTATTCTTTTTTTGGTGGTGGTGTTTTAAGACCCTAAATTCTCTGCTTTCTCTTCTGGTGTTCTTTACCACCCAATCACCAATGGGTAGGTACCATGACTCATTTTCGCATTTTTATTCTACAGAAACTCCATGTAATATGGACATTTCTATGTTTCTTTCTTATCATCAGTTCTCTGATCTATAAGAAAACTTTTTCAGTATCTTCACATTCTGGCAATGATTTTAAAATATAACCACTGTTAGTTCTCTTCTCTGAGCAGTTTTTCTCAGACTGCCCTCCCTTATTAGAAAGGCTTGTCGTAAGAGCTTTAGTGGCTTTCTGTTTTTAAAACTGACGGTACTAAGCACTCCCATTTGCAGTTATATAATATGCATGTTTTTGTATACAGCTGATGTTTGAACACAGGTTTGAAATGCATGGGTGCGCTTATATATGGATTTTCTTCCATCTCTACCACCCCTAAGACAGCAAGACCAACCCCTCCTGTTCTTCCTCCTCCTCCTTAGCCTACTCAACATGAAGATAAGGATGAAGACCTTTATGGTGACCTACTTCCACTTAATTAATGAGAAGTAAATATATATTCTCTTAAGGTTTTCTTAACATTTTATTTTCTCTAGTTTATTTTATCATGAGAATACAGTATATAATATACACAACTTACAAAATACATGTTAATTGTTTCTTTATGTTATGGGTAAGGACTGCAGTCAGCAGTAAGCTACTAATGGTTTTTTGGGGAAGTCGAAAGTTACATGCAGCTTTCTGACTGCATGTTGGGGGAAGGGTCAACATCCCTAATTCCCACATTGTTCAAGAGTCAACCGTAGATATATTTGATTTTGCTGTTCTATATTTTGTTGGAAGATTATGTAGGGAGATGTGGGTTTAGGCATCCATCCATTTTTCTTGACTACCCAGAATTCAATGGCTTGCATTTTTTTTTTTCTTTTTTCAGGACAAGGTCTCGCTTTGTCATCCAGGCTGGAGTGCAGTGGCACAATCTTGGCTCACTGTATCCTTGATCTCCTGGGCTCAACTGTTTGAAATTTTTAATAAAATCTAGGTAACATGAACTCAGTCTGTAAACCCACATAAGGGATAGAATACAACAAAAAACACACAGAAGCAATTTTAAACTTCGGAAAAGCACCATGGTTAAAGATAGTCAATTGTCCTTTCAGATCTATCGAGTTTCTAGTTCATCTTTCTGAGTGCCCAGTTTTATGGATAATTGGTGTAGTTGTAGGCTACCAACTTGATCAACTCTGAACTGTATCTTCTATTCTTGAACCCCATAATGCCTGAAAGCCAAAGTTCAAGTCTACGCAATTCAGCAACTGCTTCTAGGTTATGAAAAAAAAATTTTAACTCAACAAAGATATATTAAGTTTACACTTATTTGATGCTAAAGTAATAATTCAAAATACATACAGTACTTGCCAACCTACAAAAATAGAGTTAGCAGACCAGGTATGGTGGCTCATGCCTGTAATCCTAGCACTTTGGGAGGTCAAGGGAGGCAGATCGCTTGAGGTCAGGAGTTCAAGACCAGCCTGGGCAACATGGTAAAACCCCGTCTCTACCAAAAACGCAAAAATTAGCTGGCCACAGTGGTGCATGCCTGTAATCCTAGCTACTCAGGATGCTAAGGCATGAGAATTGCTTGAACTGGGAGGCGGAGACTGCAGTGAGCCGAGATCATGACAAGGCAGAGGCTGTAGTGAGCACTCTAGACTGAGCAACAGAGCAAGACTCTGTCTCAAAAAAAAAATAAAAATAAAAATAGCAGCCCCCAAACCCCAAATTACAGAAAACTGGAAAATTTTTAAATCCATAAAAAATCAAAAGTACCCTTTCATATAACATAAATCATTTTTGATATTGTTTTACAAGAGACTGTTTACTTCTACCTAGAGATACTTCTCTTTTTCAATAACTTACAGTACTTGAAATAAAGCCCTGTTCTGAAGACATGACTGAAAATGAAGTGAAAGTTTCTCATCTTCCCTTTTCTGCTTCTCTTCCTACCTCCTTGAAATAAGATAAAATTGAGTAACAGAAACCTGTTTTATTTCTCCACATATCTTCTAAACCTGCCACATTTCCTGACTAAAATGTTTTCTAGGTTACTAATGGGTAGTAAATACCTTAGTCTAAAAGATTTCTGATAGAACAACAACAAAACTTGAAAAAAAAATAAGAGTTGAAACTTGTACTGCTCTTAGATTTTTCATATTACTAACTTGGGGCTAAAAATAATTAGGGTTAAAAATAAAGTAGATATTCAGTACTCAGTTATTGCTCTATTTGGTGGTTATTATTGCCTTATTATAAAAAAGGAAGCTAAGATTTTCTCAGTCAAAACCATTGGATTAAATCAATATAAAGGTTAGTAACAATAACTAACATATCAATTTTCCCACTTACTTCTGAGACAGACCATTTACTTCTGTGGTCTAGAAGATGAATAAGTAGAACCCATAATTCTTTAATGCATAAACATGGACACTGGTCACTCGTTAATGATTCAGAAGGCCTCACCTATAGAAAATAACCAAAATGTGTTATTTATAAGACAGCAGCAGAATTTTAAATGCCATATATCTTTCAAATACTTTTAAAAGAATGATTTAGATGACTAAGAATTTATTCTCAATTAGATAAAATTATTTATTGAAAATGTGCAATTTCATTTAATTTTTGAGATAAATTTCCATTTTAAAACAAAAAGTACAGATTAATTTGATTTCAACTTAAAAAAAAAACTTTTAATCATCTAGTCCCGTGGTCAGCAAACTTTTTCTATAAAGGGCTAGATAGGACATTTTTAAGAGTCTGTTGGCAATACAGTCTCTGTCACAACTACTGAACTCTGCCATTTCAGTACAACAGTCACAGATAATCGGTAAGAGACATGGACCAGGTTATATCCCAGCAAAACTACATTTACAGAAATAGGTAATGGGCTAGATTATACCTCAGGGCCAGTTTGCTTATTTTGCTCTGAGTCATCTACAACAACAAAAGACTTCTAATTAAGATTAGAAAATAAATTCTGATTCACTGTAAACAGTAAAAATTTTGCAAGACAATAAATAGTTATTAGAGATTTATAATGATTAAGTAATTTCTAAATTATTTACCTTTTTTTAACAAAAAAATCCTCAACAGCCCTAGATAATGCACAGAATGTACACTATATTTGCAAATATAGCTAGGCTTCTTAAATTCAAAATATATGCAATATTTTACATAAGTTATGCACACATTTCTAACCTAATACAAAGTAAAAAAAAAAGTATTAGGATATTAATAGAAATCCTAGCCACAGCAATTAAGCAAAAGAAATAAAAGGCATCTAAACAGAAAGAAATAAGTTAAAATTGTTGCTGTTTGTAGATAACATGATCTTATATATAGAAACCTCTAAAGACATCATCAAAAATTATTCAAATAAATAAATGCAGTAAAGTTGCAGGATACAAAAATCAACACACAAAATACCATAGCATTTCTATACAATAACAACAAACTACCCAAAAAAGAAATCAATAAAACAATCCCATATATAGTATATACCCACAAAAACAAAAACACGTAGGGATAAATTTAACCAAAGAGCAAAAGGCCTATACACTGAAAAATATAAAACACTGATGAAAGAAATGGAATACAACCCATATAAACAGAAAAAATATCTTGTGGTCATGGATTGGAAGAAATATTATTAAAATGTTCATACTACCCAAAGTGACCTACGGATTCAATGAAATCCCTACCAAAATATTTAATGACACTTTTTTACAGAAATAGAAAAAACAATCCTAAAATTGGTAGGAAATCACAAAAGGTCCTGAATAGACCAAGTAATCTTTAGCAAAAAGAACAAAGCTCGAGGCATGACACTACCTGACTTCAAAATATACTACAAAGCTATAGTAATCAAAACAGTGTGCTGCTAGCATACAAACAGACACAGAACAAAATAGAACAACTGATTTTTCACAATGATGAAAAGAGCATAACATGGGGAAAGGACAGCTTCTTCAATAAACAGGTTGGGACAACTGGATATCCACACACAGAATGAATTTAGGCCCCTGTTTCACACCATATAGAAAAATCGACTCAAAATAAAGACTTAAATGTAAGACCTGAAACTATAAAACTAGAAGAAAACATAGGAGAAAAGCTATATGACAATGGTCTGGTAAATGATTTCTTGGATATGACCCCAAAAGCACAGGCCACAAAAATGAACAGACAAATGGGATTATGTCAAAATAAAAAGGAAATATCTGCACAGCAAAGGAAAAAAAAATCAATGGAATGAAGGGAAAATCTCGAGAATGGAAGAAAATATTTGCAAAACTACATATGATAAGGGATTAGTATCTTAAATATACAAGGAACCCAAACAACTCAATAGCAAGAAAACAATCCAATTGCAAAATCAGCAAAAAATATAAATAGACATACTCTTGTTTTTGAGACCGAGTCTCGTTCTTTCACCAAACTGGAGTGCAGTGGTACAATATCGGCTCACTGCAACCTGCACCTCCTGGATTCAAGCAATTCTCCTGCCTCAGCCTCCTAAGTAGCTGGGATTACAGGCACATGCCATCATGCCCGGCTAATTTTTCATATTTTTAGTAGAGACAGGGTTTCACCGTGTTAACCAGGATGGTCTCAATCTCCTGACCTCATGATCTGCCTGCCTCAGCCTCCCAAAGTGCTGGGATTACAGGCGTGAGCCACCGCGCCTGGTTGACATTTCTTAAAAGAAGACATACAAATGGCGAAGCAGTATATGAAAAATGCTCAACATCACTACTCATTATGGAAATGCAAATTAAAACTTGATGAGACATCACCTCAAACTTGTTATAATGGCTACTACCAAAAAGACAAAAGATAACAAGTGCCAGAGAGGAAGTGGTGACAAGAAAACCCTTGCACAGTGTGGTGAGAATGTGAATTGGTACAGTCATCATATAATACAGTATGCAAGTTCCTCACAAAATTAAAAACAGAACTACCACATGATCCAGCAATCCTACTAGGTATATTTGCAAAGAAAATGAAATTAGTATGTTCAAGAGATATCTGCATTCCCATGTTCACTGCAGCATTATTTACAAGAGCCAAGACATGGAATCAGCCAAATTGCCCATCAACAGATGAATGCATAAAGAAAATCTGGTTTATATACACAATGGAATACAGTCACATGTCACTTAACAGCAGGACATGTTCTGAGAAGTGCGTCTTTAGGCTAACATGATTTATTGTACTTAAAACTTTTTCAGACTACTACTGCACACCTAGGCTATGTGGTATAGCCACCTTGTATATGTGGTCTGTCACTGACTAAAACTTTGTTACACAGTGCATGACCCTACTATTCAGCCTTGAGAAGGAAATACTGTCATCTGTAACAATATAGATGAACATGGAGGACATTATATTATGTGAAATAAGCCAGGCACAGAAAGACAAATAACACACAATCTCACCTATATGTGGAATCTAAAAAAGCTGAACTCATGGAAGCACAGTAGAATGATCCTTACCAAGGGCTGTGAGGAGGATTAGGAGGGAGGCGGGGTAGATGTTGATCAAAGCATACAAAATTTCAGTTAGATAAGAGGAATAAGCTCAACATGATGACTATAGTTAAAAACAATGTACTATATTATATTCTTGAAAATCACTAAAAGCATAGATTTTAAGTGTTCTCACACAAAAAAATAAGAATGTGAGATAACATATATGCTAATTGGCTATATTTAGCCATTCTACAATGTATACACATATCAAAACATGATGTGTACGATAAATATATATAATTTTGTCAATCATCAAAAATAAATAAATATTTAAAAGTTATCAGTCTATCATATCTGGTTAATCTACTAATACACACACACTACATTGTAAAAATATTGATAATGCATAAAAAATCTACATTTTGAAAAATTATAAAACTCCTTTTCCCTAAATCTTGATTTCCCAAAAATAGTCTTCATGCTTGTAATCTAAAATAACAGATAATACTCTAAACATTTCCACTACTTAAAAATGAACATGCTCTGTAGCACCTTTAAATCACTACCTCCATTAAACGCTCTATGATAAACACAATTTAATAAAAACACATAATTTCACCCATGATTCCAGACCTTTTATGAAAACAAGCAAGAAAATCCTCTCTTAAAATGTGTCAAGTAACTTTAAGTAAGCATTTATTTTATTATTACATAACAGCAATACAATACATTATTAAAGAGCTGGCGTCTACTATTTGGATAGAAATTAGGCTTCCAATGATTTCGGTAAACATCATTTATTTATTTTTATCAAAATAGAAAAGGCTGTTTTTCCTAAAAAAAAAAAAAGAAAGAAAGAAAGAAAGAAAAAGAAATGCTCTAAAATACCAACTCCAGCCTGTTTTAGATGTTTAAACAAAAATTGTTTTCCCTTTCAGGTCCCAGATAATAGCAACTAAATATAAAATTAGAACATATAAACCATTTTAGATTAAATTCTTACAGATTAAACGACATGCATTAAGGACTGAATATTGTCTTTAAGTCTCAAAAACACAAACAAACTCTTAAAGCATTACCTTGTCATACCTGTTGAGTGACAGGCTTATTAAATCACAAAGCAGAGTTTCACAATGTTCTTCAAACAGGCTGACATTGGTTAAACTGTCACTTGCCAGATTCATAAACTGATGACCATATACAACTTGTTCTGAAAATGTAATAAAAATAGTTTTAAAATACAGATTTTACTAAATCATAAAGGAAAAAGTGACTGTACATCTTCAAATTGTAACAAAACTAAAACATACAGTTTTTAATTTTTTTTGTAAATAAAACGTGAATTTGAGGACAACCCTCTCATATGAGCACTGATAAACATTATCTTCAAAAGTTTCTTTTTTTTTTTTTTTGAGATGGGGTCTCACTCTGTCGCCCAGGCTGGAGTGCAGTGGCACGATCTCAGCTAACTGCAAGCTCCGCCTCCCAGGTTCATGCCATTCTCCCGCCTCAGCCTCCCAAGTAGCTGGGACTATAAGCGCCCGCCACCACGCGTGGCTAATTTTGCTTTTGTATTTTTCGTAGAGACCGGGTTTCACCGTGTTAGCCAAGATGGTCTTGATCTCCTGACCTTGTGATCCACCCACCTCGGCCTCCCAAAGTGCTGGAATTACAGGCGTGAGCCACCTCGCCCGGCCCAAAAGTTTCTAATTCTTCCAAGTAACATCTAATAAACTTCTCTTTTCCTAATAAGTCTATCTTTGAAAAGTATTAATGCAACACAACTTTAAAAAAAAAGAGAGAACAACATAAAATCTGCATCCACATTTCTAATCAACAGAGCCTTTAAAACATTATTCTCTTAACAAATACTGATAAACTGACCCCATGCAACGGTTTTGTGGCATAAAATAGGGCAAACCAAGGTAAAAGATAACCAAAATTTATACCTATCAGAATAACTCCACTGAAGTATTATTCTAAGAATATACTAATGTGAAATACAGAGTCCACGAGAGGAAATTATACACTGATATACATCTTTGTATGTTTCTGTGTATGAATATATGTAGGTATATACATATATAAACATATATGTATGTATTTATTAACTGAAAAGCAGGTGTAGGAGTAATAGACATCTTTACAACCTAAGTGACAGGTTGCCAATGGAACCTAAAAATGCCAAAGAGCAAGATCAAGAAATAAATGGGCAACATATCCATAAGGATAAAGGATATTTATCCATAATATAAACTCCTACTAAAAAAAGGAAAATTTGCAAAATATAATGAGTAATTAATAAAGCAAATACAGACAATAAACTGTAAAGATGTTCAACTTCACTCATAACCAAGAAATTGCAAGATCAAAAAAATTTCATTTGATTTTTCACATATTAGTTGGCAAAAAATAAAATATAATTGATAACATCAACTACTGGCAAGAGTATGAAGTAAAATCACACTACAGTTAATGTCTATAGATCAGTAGGACTTACTATTCAGCAAAACAGCAGCATATACATATTAAAACTACAATGTGCCACTCTACTTCTATGAATATTTTACAGAATAACTTGTACACAGATTAAAGATATATATCTATACACAAGGGTGTTCAGTGAAAAATGATGTGTAAAATCAAAAATGAAAGTAACTTCAATGTTTAAAAATAGACATGGCTAAATATAGTAGAACCATAACACGCAGCCTTTAAATGGATAAAGTAGAACTATAGGTACTAACAAAAACAGATCGCTAAAACAGTGATAAATGAAAGATCACACTGAACAGTATGATCGTATCTGTGGTTAAAAACAAAAACAAAATTCTACCTATGAGTTTCTATATATATGCTAACAGATAGAATGTAAATATGTATACTAACAGATAGAATGTAAATATGGAAAGATAAATCAAGCTGTTCCCAGTAGTTATCTCTGGAAAAAAAGGAGTAAAACTTTTACTTCTTTCTTTGTTTACTATTTGATTTTTTTTAAATATCAGAAGGCACTTATTACTTACGTAATTTTAAAAAGCAATAACAGCTTTTAAAAAGAATATAAATCATAAATCCATAAACTTACTCAATTTTTCACCCAGCATGTAAAGAATTTCTAGCACCAGCCAATGTATATCCAAGTGGAGATGTAATAAATGCCATGATGGTGGAAAAAGCTGTGGATGACATTATCAACTGTGATTCATTAATATTTTACTCGGTGTTTCATAGCATGTCACAATACTCCTCCATAAACACAAGGATAAAGAACCAATTAACCTACCACTATTCAAAAGCTCAGGGAAAACCTCTGTCTTGTTCATTAGAGGATTCTTTCACTGAAGATCTTTGAAAGCAGTAAATATTTTCATCTGTTGGTTTAAGACAAACCCACTCTGGGGCTGTTGAATAGACTTGTATAGTAAAGGTACCTTCCAGCCAACCTCTGATTCTACTATAGCTGCAAGGTAGTAAAAGAATTTTCTTAAACACGTGTTTTCATAATTTTGTTTTAGAATTTAGCTAGGAAATTTTTTTTAATGTATGAGTACCTAGGAACTCCTATAAAATATTTTAACAAAAGAACTTTAGACTGTCATGTAGACATTACTGTCATCTCATTAAGGAACAGAAGTAAAAAGAGGTGAAAAAATTTCTCTCTCAATTCATGTATTAGGATTCAAACTCAATTCTATCTGAGTCAAAACCCAGCACTTTCAAGTACTGTGTTATACTGGGTTATCACTAACCTTCCTCCTGTCAGAATTTAGCATCACTATAAAAATAAATACTATAAAAAAAAAAAAAAAATGACGTAACATGTTCCATTAAAACAAATAGAAAGAATGATGAAGAGTAGACCTGCGTTATTAGGTATACAAACAAAATAAAATGCTACACTGACAAAACCGTATTGGGACAGAAATAGATAACAAAGAGCAAGAATAGAGAAGACAGAAATGAATTTATGTGGCATCTCAAATCAATGGGAAAAGTATGGGTCATTCAATAAAAAATAAGAGTTTTAACTTATGCATTTGCAAGAAGCTAGACTTCTCACCTCAGTGCATACTTAAAAATAACACAAATTAAAGAGACAAAAGCAACAATGAAAATATTTTAACAGCATAGATAAAACAAAAAATGGAAAAATATAACTATCTAAAAAATTCAAATCTACCTAGAAAGTCAGCTTACTTAATGAAAAAGTAAATAAAATATTTGCAATACATAATTCCCAATAACTAATATATATCTAGAGTTCCTAAAAAATAATAAAAGAAGCTCAACTGGAAATACCAATGAAAACAAAACATTTCCTATACAAGATTGTTATAACAAATATATAAACATAGTCTTGAAAGATGTTTTCTATTATGTTTTTGTTTCAGAAAAGAACAGTATTTTAGTGTGTGATTTTTTATTTTTTGAAGACTATAAAGTTCCCCTGCTTTAAAACTTTAGTCTTCTGAGCTTCAAATAACCTATCTTTTCAAGTCTGCCTAACTAAAAAGCCTATGAAAGGCAATATCTAGTTTGAGGACCCTAGTGCACAAATTTTATTTCTGCTGCTATATAAATTATTCATTTTTATTTCTTATGTATTCGATGGATAACTAGAAAATAAAAACCAGTCCAATTTACAGAAACTAATAAGGAAAACATCCCTCCCTCAACAATCTACTCATGAATCTTTTTATTAAATGACATAATTAAAAGCAATTACCTATTTGTTTTCTATGGATTAGATATACTAACTTGTAAATTCAGTTAGAACTTTATTTGCTTTTATTATTACATATATTGATCTCTGATAAAAAAGTCAACTTGTTTCTGCTACATTTCACAGAAACATGCAAACATTTAATTCTATTTATTTTATTTATCGAAATAGGGTCTTGCTCTGTCATCCAGGCTGGAATGCAGTGGTGCAGTCATGTCTCACCACAGCCTCGACCTCCTGAGTTCAACTGATCCTCCCACCTCAACCTCCTGAGTAGCTAGGACTACAAGGTATGTGCCACCACCCTGGGCTAACTTTTTAATTTTTTGTAGAGATGGGGTCTCGCTATGTTGCCCAAGCTGTTCTCAAATCCTGGATTCAAGCACTCCTCCTGCCTCAGCCACTCAAAGTGTTGGGATTACAGGCATGAGCTACCATGCTCAGCTGTTTTTATATTTTAACAAAGATACGTTCATAAAGAGTAAATATTATTCAAAATGGTAAAGTCAAATATAATGAAAGGGGTTGAGACTTCAGGGAATCTCACTGTGAATTACCATAATTTGTTATTCATATAAGCTCCCATTTTCATAGGGAGAATCTATTACTTATCTACAAGCTAGGCATGGTAACAATATAAATTTTTAAAAACCAAACTTCAGAAGGAATGATTATCACAGGAAGGAGAAAAAGGGCAGAGTCAAAACAATCTTAATCAATTTCCAAAAAGGCCTCAAAAATCAGAATACACACAATGATGTGGTCTTGGAAGTTTTTTTTTAATAAGCTGATCTGGAATCTTACTGCAATATATGATAAAAATTTTAGAAAATAAAGATTATTTCGTTTGCTTTAAAATTTTCAGACATTTACACTGTCATAAATCAAGAGAATAGCTACTGATTCAATGAATAGTATGTTTTAATAACTTCATGTATATTAATTTATTTAATTCTCCCAATGATTCTAGTAAGTTATAAGAATTACACAGATGGGGAGGCTGAGGCAAGAGATGTCATTTGCCCAAGAGCACATAATTAATAAAAGGAGGATGGGGGGCAAGAATTTCAACACAGGCAGTCAGGTTGCAGAGCTGTAATTTTGACTAATTTCTCTCCTTCTTGAATGAATATTCCTTGTGGGGAGAAAAAGCTGATAATTTAAAAATTAAATGAAACAAGTCAAACCTTAATCTGGTTTTGATTTACAAATGCTCCTATATTAATACTGGGAAGTTCAGATAGGTGTCCAATATACAAGAGTAATCCATGAAGCTCATCAATCAACAGCGAGGGAAGTTGAGCCTCCAAAGCCTCATAAGGATGGACAGGAACATGACTCTCAGCATTGTGTACTTTCAGATATCTAAAAAATAATTAGATAAAATAAACAATCAGAGTCTGTATGAATACACACAGAAATTCATGTAGTGCAAAATACTCATCTGATATCCTACCTGAAGATGAAAACTTTAACATAATGGAGAAATAGTACACACTGCTGTCTGATACTGTCTGCTTTGCAGTGCAGAGTTGATACCTTCCCTGAAACCAAAATAGACAATGTTAATAGTTCAAATAATTAGCATGGGCAGTGACAAAAAATGTTGTAAGCCATACCAGCAGCAATTTTCTATCTTGTAACATTTTAAACATTCTCATATAGTTTTTGCTCCCCACTACTCCTCAAAAAATGCTCTTATTAAAGTCACCAATCAAACCCACATTGTCCAATCTAATGGACAATGCCTACCCTCAAGTAACTTGCTCCCACAGTAGCACTAGCTACACCTGGCTTCATGGTGCCACATAGTGACAGTCTTCTTTCTTCCTCATGTGTCCTTTGTCCTACCCTTCTTTTATTGGCTCCTCCTCCTCAATTCTATTATTAATATGGTCTCTTCAGGACTCAGTCCTGAATTCTCTACTCTCTGTATATCTCTTCCCATATGCATGATCTCATCAGTTCCTTTATTAATAAATGGTAATGACTCTAAAGGGGTTATCTACAACCCATATCTCTCCTTTGCACTCCAGACCTTGCATGTTAAACTGCCTAACACCTATACTTGGATTGCTCAGACAGTGCAAATAATACATCCTTTGATTTCTTTCAAAACCTGTTCATGCTGCCCTTGTTTTCAGCATTTCATTAAATGGTACCACCAGTAGCCTATGTAGTTCTTGATTCTTCCATTTCCTTTAACCTCATATCTAATCTTTCAGAGTCCTATTAAGTTTATAACCAAATATACATTGAAACTATCCCTTTTCCCTATAAGCACTTAAACACCACAATAGCACTCTTCACAGGTCTTTCCATGCTCTCTTTTGTCCCCCTATACACCAAGGAAAAAATCTGCTTAAAGTGTGTATCAATTTGTCTTGTTCCCAAGTCAAAACTCTTGAAAGAACACCTACTATATTTAGAATAAAATAAAAACTCCTAATAATAATTTATAAAGTTCTGAATGACCTTTTAACAGTTGCTGTCTTTCTGCCAACCTCACTCCATGTCAGCTTTCCCTCACTTACTTCAGCATTTATATCAGCAATAATTATCTAGGTAGTTACCATGGGCAAAACACTGATAATCATTATAGAAAGAATGAGTAAGAGACAATCTAGTAAACAAAAGCAAAGAAAACATGATGAGAATTATAGGTTACAAATTTACACCCATACTAAACATAAAACTGAAGTTTAATTCAAATGAACAATCATGGCCAGTACTTTGGCAGAGCAGAAGCATAAGTGTGAAGTAGTTGTGTAAATACCTCCATATTAAGCTGAATTTCTATGGCTGTATTTCGCTCATAAAAAGTCGTATCATCCCAATTTTCATAATTCCCAGCCCATAAAGGCAGTACTCTCTTAAAAATAACTGCAATGAACATCTGCATCCAGGCACGATGGAGTAAAATAATCAGATTGCTCCATCTCCCACTGTAAAACTGAAAACCATAAAAATTACATCAAGCACGTTTTCAGGCTCTGGACACAAGACAATATAAGATTTTGCTCTCCCAGAGAGAAACTGAGCCCTAAAACTACACCAACTCCCCACCTAGAGACAGTCTCCAGGCTGCAATATGAGGAAGAGAACCCAAATACAGCCCAACTCACTCTCTGAGATGAGGAGATATGGGATCCAAGTTTCAGGAAGTCCAAATTCGTAGGGCAAAAGTACCCAAGAAGAAAGAAGCTATATAAAATAGAGTTCTGGAAGGGTACAGAAGGGTCCCTCTGAGATTTGACTAAGTACTGATCTGTTCAAGCATGAAAAATATTACCCAAGGCCAGGGAAAAACACCAGAAAACAATTCCCTATAAAGAGTACACAAGCCAGGGAATAGTTCAAGTTCTCACCAGCAAGCATGAAAAAAAATCTCATAATAGACCAGGCATAAGAAAGAATTCTCAAAAGCCTTACTAGGCTAATTTACTAGGCTAAATTAACATTAAAGCCTGCTTTTTAAAAGTCCTACCAAAATTTAAAGCAAGCCCAAAAAAGAGCCACTGGATTACAACTACACAATAGCGAGCCAGAACAAAATTCAACATCTAGTTTAAGGAATAAAAAAATCCAGAAAGCAACAATGTGAAACCCATAATGTTCATCTCACAACGAAACATTACTACATATTCAAAGAAGCAGAAAAATATATCACAGAACCAGGAGAAAAACTTATAAATACAGTTTCAGAAATGACAGTGATAAAATAATTATTGGCTGGGCGTGGTGGCTCACACATGTAATCCCAGCACTTTGGGAGGCTGAGGCAGGTGAATCATGAGGTTAGGAGATCAAGATCATCCTGGACAACAAGATGAAACCCCGTTTCTACTAAAAATACAAAAATCAGCTGGGTGTGGTGGTATGTGCCTGTAATCCCAGCTACTCAGGAGGCTGAGGCAGGAAAATCACTTAAACCAGGGAGTCAGAGGTTGCAGTAAGCCGAGATGGCGCTACTGCACTCCAGTCTGGTGACAGACCGAGATTCCACCTCAAAAAAAAAAAAAGAATTATTAGTAGCAGCAACAAGGTTAAAAACATTGGTTATAATATACACTCCATATATTCAAGATGGATGAAAACAAGCATGCAGTCAGAAATGGAAGACATTTAAAAAAATCCACAAGGAATGTCTAGAGACAAAAACAAACACAATAGCTGAGACAGGGTAACACCAACAACCATATTTAAGAATAGCTCTTGGCTGAGTGTGGTGGCTGGTATCTACAATGCTAGCACTTTGGGAGGCCAGGGCGGGAGGATCACTTGAGCCCAGAAGTTTGAGACCAGTCTTGGCAACGTAGTGAGACCCTATCTCTACAAAAAATTAAAAAATTAGCCAGGCATGGTGGTGTGAGCCTGTAGTCTCAGCTACTTAGGAAGCTGAGATGGGAGGATCTGCTTGAGCCCAGGAGGTCAAGGCTGCAATGAGTCATGATCACGCCACTGCACTCCAGCCTGGGCGACAGAGTGAGACCCTGTCTCGAGACAGAGAGAAAGAGGGGAAAAAAAACAGATATTAGCAAAACATATGTCATTATGTATGTTATTCTGCCTCAACTGGAAATTAACCCTGGAAGCATAATGATTAGAACAACAACTATACTCATCTGGCAGTAAGTAACTAAGTAACCCTACATAGGGACTTCTTGGGACGGCTGAGGGCCAAGGGTACCTACACAAGTTAATGAACACAGCTACATGGCAGGAACAAGTTCATGTATAGATAATATTTAACACTACTAACTTGTGTCCAAAATCTATCATTAAAAGTTTTAAGCAACAAAAACAGCCAAAATGTCAGTGTAACAACCATCTTAACAAATAGTCCACTGCAGTGTTTTCAGGTTAATAAGTGTAATAATAATAATCTATCATAATAAATGCCTTCCATGAACCCAATTTACTTAAGTCATTCTATGTAAAGGTATTCTGGTTCTTTCCACTACAATCTTTTAGTGGTTCCCCAGGAGTTCCAAAATAAAAATCAGACTCTTTGTCATGGTTTACAAAGCCAACTCTGCTTTCATCCCTTCCAAATTCATCACTCACACACATTCTGATCCAACCATATGTAATTAATATTTACTCCATACTCTCTAAACTTTTATGTTTTTACACACATCACGTGTTTGATTATAGGTTTTTTTATTTTTTCCTGCCTGGAATTCTTCCTGTCCGAAAACCTTTTCCCGAATCTTTTGTCTAGCTAATTCCTTCCCATCTGTGAAGACCCAGATCTGGCATCATTTAGTGATGAGCTCACAGACAGACAAAGCCGTTGGCTCCCACAGCAGCTTGTACATTCCTTTATCACAGTACTTTTTCATTTACCAAGCTGACGTATGCTTGCATGTCTTACTGTCTACACAACTGCAAACTCATCAGCAGCATATTTTTCCTCTTTGATTCATCAGTACCTTGCACAGTACCCAGCATGAACCAGGAACTCATCAGATGATAATGAAACAATAATACTTAACATTTACAAATCACATAACATGCTAAGAAAACAAAACATATAAAACAGCCTAAAAGCTGATAACCTACAGCTAGGCCATGGTATTCCCTACTGAAAATAAACAATTTTTGTAAAACAAAAAATAGTCCAGGCGCGGTGGCTCACACCTGTAATTCCAGCACTTTGGGAGGCCGAGGCAGGCGGATCACAAGGTCAGGAGTTTGAGACCAGCCTGACCAACATGGTGAAACCCCATCTCTACTAAAAATACAAAAATTATCCAGGTGTGGTGGCATGCACCTGTAATCCTAGCACTCAGGAGGCTGAGGCTGGAGAATTGCTTGAACCGGAGGTGGCAGTGGGCCAAAATCATGCTACTACACTCCAGCCTGAGTGACAGAGTAAGACTCCATCTCAAAAAATAATAATAATAATAATAAATAATAATGATACAGGGCCACTCCATTATTATAGTGAAACAAGACAAAAACAAAACCTCTGTAACCATGTCTGAATACAAAACATGGCACTATGCAATCACATACACCCCAAACAAAACACACACAAAAAAAAAGGAAAAAAAAAAAGAAAAAAAAAAAAACCCACATCCTCCCTCTTCCAGTGACCAGGACAATACTTCTTTACTAATTAGGACCCTCCCTTTGTCTCACCTCCTAGATAAAAATTAAAATACCCACTCTTCAAATTGCCCCTGCTAATTAACAGCATCCAATCCAGAAAATAGCCTTATCCCCCTTAAGCCCTACCCAAAATTACCAGAATGAGCCCCAAACATATCACAAGTCCCTTCCTACTCCCTCTTACTGACAAGCCCCAGCTTTTCCTCATAATCTATATTTCTCCTTTTTTCATAATCTAATAAACTTCTGTTTGACCAAAAGTGTTCCAGGTAGTCTTTGGTTGCTAGGCATCACGAATGATAAGACACTGTGTTAAGCACTTAACATGCTCAACCAAGTTACAACTATTACTTGGCATAAGACCCACAACTAGGGTTGGAAGCCAAGGTGACAAGGCCATGATTCTAAACCCTGTACTGCACCAAAATTACTAGAAAGGAGAAGCAACCTGCACTAAAACACACTGACCTTCAATTCCCTTTACTACCTTAACTGTACACACTGTGGCTCATGCCTGTAATCCTAGCACTTCAGGAGGCCACAGCGGGCAGATCACCTGAGGTCAGGAGTTTGAAATCAGCCTGGCCAAAATGGCGAAATCCCATCTCTACTAAAAATGCAAAAATTAGCTGGGGGTGGTGGCGGGTGCCTATAATCCCAGCTACTCGGGAGGCTGAGGCAGGAGAATCACTTGAACTCGGGTGGCAGAGGTTGCAGTGAGGTGAGATCGCACTCTTGCACTCCAGCCTCGACAAAAGAGTGGAACTCCATATCAAAAGAAGAAAAAAAAAGATACCAATCTTAAAAAAAAAAAAATCAGTAATCCATTAAACACCAAAAGTAAACAAAAAAGCAGAAAAGAAAATCAAGAAGACAGCATGAGGTCTGACACTTTTTAGTTCTTATTTAAGTTCTCTATCCCACTCCCTACCTCCAAAACAAGTACTAATTTTCTTCAGAGAAGTTTAGCTTCCTTAAGTTGGTTTTACCTTTAAAATCTACAGATTTGGGAAAATACTATATATCTCAGGTACAACAAAATTTAAAGTCATACTTTTTCTGCGTACTAAGTTCATAAACTTCTGGCCTAATGCTTCCTCCATATTATCATGATATCCCAATTACACCATCATGGACCCATATGCAACTCACTATAATGCAGCACCATTCTCTTTTGCCATTAAACACACTTTAAACTTACCAAAATCACAACTGGACTGTAACAAGATTTCCAGGTTGTACAGTTGTTGCCTAATTTTAAAAATGTAAGGTGAGAGTTAATTTTAGAACACTTTATAAAGCATGTGACAATTACATGGATAATGTTTCCAAATCTATTACACAGCTTCAATACCTCTTTTATTTGGGGATGAGGATTAATACCTTGTGACTATTAATTAAAGGATCAGCTTCAGGTAATGAAAACTTTAAGAAAAGATAAAATACATCCTTGCCCGACCTTCCAAAAGTATCTATTAAAGACTGCATATATCTCAAAAATTATTTCAAATACCACAGACTTCACCATCAGCAAGATACTGTGTATATCTTTAAGAAGTTTAAGACGGGACGCCTGTAATCCTAGCACTTTGGGAGGCCAAGGCAGGTGGATCACCTGAGGTCAGGAATTTAAGACCAGCCTGGCCAGCATGGTGAGACCCCATCTCTACTAAAAATACACAAAAATGAGCTGGGCGTGGTGGCGGGCCCCTGTAATCCTAGCTACTTGGGAAGCTGAGGCAAAGAAGCGCCACCGCACTCCAGCCTGGGTGACAGTGTGAGACTCTGTCTCACAAAAAAAAAAGAAGTTTAAGATACATAAAACATTCTAGGTTAACAGTTACATAATAAAATTTTAAACTGTATCATACAGTTAAACAATGGAAGTCCAAAAAAGGAATAATGTAGACTAAAGTTATCAGGGAAAGTTGTTTTATGATGTTCCATCTTAATTCCTGATAGTAATTTCTTGCTATTCTTCCTAGTTGATTTCAAACTCTTTAAAAATTAACCCACATTTATAACCTATGTCCTAAAGCCTCGCTCACTCAGCCTGTTCTCTCCATAAAATGTATGACATGGCATAGATACAGTTAAGTCTCTTCAAAAGGTTTCATGGGATGATAGTGGGAGAATTCCTTCCACCTCTCCATTTTCCTTTAAATGTATCACAGAGATTTTTACTGTGTTTTGGAATAATTTGGTTTCAATAACTGACTCCTGTTTAAAATTACCTAAAATCTGAATATGAATTGTGTCTTAAGTGATAATGAAGAACTTTAATTTTTATTAATAGAGATTTTTTTTTGAGACAGAGTCTCGCTCTGTCACTCAGGCTGGAGTGCAGTGGGCAATCTCGAATCACCGCAGGCTTTGCCTCCCAGGTTCCAACAATTCTCCTGCCTCAGCCTCCCGAGTAGCTGGGACTACAGGCACGCACCACAATGCCCGGGTAATTTTTGTATTTTTAGTAGGGAAGGGGTTTCACCATGTTGGTCAGGCTGGTCTCAAACTCCCAACCTCGTGGTCTGCCCGCCTCGGCCTCCCAAAGTGCTGGGATTACAAGCATGAGCCACCGTGCCTAGCCATCCTCATCATTTTTAAAAAGCCCATATTTTTAAGAAATTCATACTCAAGTATTAATGGGTGAAATGACATGATGCCTAGGATTTGCTTACAAGTCAGTCAAAAGAAGAGGAGACAAGACATATGAAGGAAATGTAATAAAAAGTTGTTGTTTACTGCAACTGAAGGAGGGTATATGGATGTTCATTATATTATTTTGTGTATGCTTAAATTTTTTCATTAAAAAAATTTTAAATGCTGTCCAAATAGAGAATTAATATTTCTATAAAACAATCTAAACAATCTATTTGGGAAGATCATACTCTGAAGATCACTGAAACACTATGGCTATTGGACAACAAAAGTATTTTAATTTTCTTCCAAAATCATAGTTCAAAGCCTTAAATATTTGTCAATACATGATGTCAAATGCAAAGAATAAAGATTCTGAAAATAAAACACAACTCATTAAAACCATTACTCATCAGGTGTTGCTGCTTGATATCGTTACTGGTAAGATAATCAAGTGAGCAACCTGCACAATTCTCCTGGTCTTTTGTAGTACCAGTATTAGAAGCCACCCAACAATGTAATTTACACAAGTGAACAACACCTACACTCACAGAAAGTTAAAACGAAGAAATACCTGAATAAATGAAAGAGTTCTCTAGATGAATTCACTAATGCTGTTTCAGTAACCCACTGAATGCCAAATATTTCTAAGGTGTCTTCTTCAAAATTAGTTGGTAAAGGATCAAGATTCAAAATCAATCTGAAATGAAAATTATGTTTTAATCCCATAAAAAGTAAACTAAGTACCATACCTTTACATTATTTGAATCCATATTATACATGACATGTATAAAAAGTCAGAAAATGCCTTGGTACTTTACACATTCAAGATTACAATAGCTAGACTGTATTAAAATGTCAATCTTCTATATTGATAAAATGTACGACTAAAGTGTAATGTAAGTTAAGAGGAAAAATCAACACGGGTTCTAAAACACATATTTCTGCCTGTCTTCACCAGTAGTCTTCAGTTGTAGAATTTTATCCTCCGAGGGGACATTTAATTGTTGAAACCGCTAACAGTTATCTGAGCCTTGTGTGGAGAACAGTACCCAATTAATGAAGTTGGGTATTCTATTTAAGGTCTCTCACAACGTACAACTATAAAGTCAACAAAAACAGTTTCCTGACTGAAACTGCCTCAGCAGGTATTACCAAAATATCTCAAGAACAGCAATTTTACTGTAATATGTATGTACCTGCCCGAAGCAAAATAGGTAGGGTTCAAAGGAACGGGTCAATAAAAAAAAAGTTTGTCTTTCTTAAAAATTACTGGAAAGCTCTAGAATATTATCACACCCTTTAGAAGGAAATACTATTTCAAAAGGCTCAGATAGTTAGGAATTCACTTTAAGTAAAAGAAAAATTAGCGCCCAGCTCCCTACAGTAAGGGCACATCAGTTACCAAGGAAGTTTTCCCTAATACCCCAAATGCTTTAGATATGCCTTTACCAAGAAGCCAGCAGCAGAACTGATAATCATTTGTACCGTTATGATATACTAAGCTGATGATAAAACATGATTTAACACCCAAGTTAAATGGGCTGAAATAACTAACATTCCTAAAAAACTGGCGAAGAATCAGGGAAAATGTCTCTGAGCTTTACCTACCGCTTAAGGGCTCCGCTGCAGAGGTAGGATTCTCCAGAAAAATGTTTTCCTTCTCCTCTGTTGTCAACAGCACAAGAAAAGTAAGGAGGTTTGCACCATTCTGTGCCCAGCTCCAGCTCTAAACTGTCAGTCAGGAACGTCGATGCGGCAGAACAGTTTTCCATTGTTTACTTCATGTTCTGAAATGTTTGAGGTTCGTCGTATCATTAAGGGCTCCAAAGAGAAGGTGTGAAGAAATTCCTGTAGGTGGGGGCCAAGAGACTGGGGGTTACTTCAGAAAGTTCCCAGGACGTCCGCCAGCAGCAAGGAAAAACGAACAAACCCAGAAGCCAAATTCCCAATCCTCCCCTGGCGCTCCGCCCCTCAAGGCTGCCAGAACTTAAGACAAAATGCACAACCAACTGGCTGTGGCAGGGACTTCAAAATCCGCCCACTAGGTCGGACTGTGCAGCCCAGGATAAGGTGAAAAGCAAAGAAATGTCTGCAGAACAGAGCGTCCCGGGCTCGCCTAGAACTTCGCCCTCCGCAAGGTTTCTAAACCACTCTCCGCCCGTTTCCTAGCAGCAAGATGGAGAACGCTCCCTCCCCGGCTCGGGGTGGAAACCAGGAAACCAGTCCCTAGAGCCAACCTCAACCCTTTAAGGAGGAGGCGAGACCCACCAGGCCCATGCCCGGCAGCACTCGGGCGAAGGAGGCTGGGAGCCAGTATCCCGGCACCCGGCTGCAGCAAGGACCCGGTGCGTCGGTTACCCGAGGTGCCTGTCGTACCTGCTCACACTTCCAGCTCCCGAAATCTACCTCCTGTGACCCTTACCACCACTAGGAATCTGTGGGGTCTAAACCGCAAACAGGCGAAATTCCCGCCACCGCGCGCCCGCGCTCCGGAAAGGCGGGGCCACGGCGCAGCCCTCCCCCGGCTACCAATCGCCTCGCGATATCTGCGCGGAAACAGTCGGAGCTCCACGAATTCTCGCGAGAGTCAGTCAACCCGGGACAAGGTACAGATAAACTTTTTTTTTTTTTTGTACCTTTAATTGGTGCGTTCGACTGGAAGGAGGGGCATGGTAAAAAAAAAAAACAAAAAAACGGAACTGCTGCTGAGGCGGAGGAGAGGAGGATTTAAGGACTACGGGTTTATCCTCTGGCTAAAGGGAAGAGATTTACTCCAGTGAGTGCGAAGTGAGTGCCTGGTTCACACCTACAGTCGCGCCGTCCCCTCTTCCCGCTCTGGGGCCAGCAACTCTTGTTAGAATGCAGGATGCCTTTTGTCCGCGGACTGTGAGGCAGGCAAGTGCAACAATGAATTTTCTCTGTAACTGACGGAACAAGTAGACAGAAAATTAGTATGGATATGGAAAACTTGGAAAACCCTATTAACCGACTTGACCTAATTTAAGTTTATAGGTGACCAACCCAACAATAGCAGAATACACACTCTTGGCAAGTGCACATGAAACATTCACTAAGCGAGACCACATTCCGAGCCATAAAACAAACGTCATCAACTTTAAAAGGACTTAAATCGTACAAAGTATATAGTCTGATCATAATGGCGTTAAACTAGAAATAAAAAAGTAGATAACTGAAAAACTAATTTTGGAGATTAAGAATCATACTTGTAACTAACCTATGAATCAGGAAAAATCACAGGAAAATTAGAAAATACTTTCAATTAAATTAAAATGAAAACATTAAAATTTGTAATAGTACCTGGTTACATTAAAAAGAAAGAACTCAATTCAATAAACTTTTGTCTTAAGTAACTAGATAAAAACCGCCAGCATATTGAAACCAAAGCAAGCAAAATGAATGAGGTAATAAATAGTAGAAATAAATGGGATGAAATAAATGGAAGGAAATAAATGCAACCAAAAGTTGTTTTTTAAAAAGAGCAATATAATTGATAAACCCTCTACCCAGACTGATAAACATATTATCAGTATCAGGAATTAAAAAGGTTTCATCACTATGAAATTTAGTCATTAAAAGGACAAGGATATTAAAAGAACATTATGAACATTTTTATACCAATAAACATAGGGTGAAATTGACAAATTCCTTAAAAGACACAAGCTCAAAACTCAAGAAGAAAATTTGAGTATCTCTGTATTTATCATAGTACTCAGAATCTTTGGTTAAGCCTCCCCCCTTCTTTCTCTCTCTCTCTATACACACCCCACTTCTTACAAGAAAACTCCAGGCCAGGGCAGGCACAGTGGCTTTGGGAGGCTGAGGTGGGTGGATCCCTTGAGACCAGGAGTTCCAGACCAGCCTGGGAACATGTTGAAACCCTGTCCCTCGTCTCCACAAAAAAATACACAAATTAGCCGGGCGTGGTGGTGCTCGTCTGTACTGCCAACTACTTAGGGAGACTGAGGTGGGAGGATCACTTGACCTGGAGAGGTCTAGGCTGCAGTGAACTGTGAGTGTGCGATTCTACTCCAGCCTGGGCAACAGAGCAAGACCGTTTCTCAAAAGCAACAAAAGAAACAAACAAAAACTCTCCAGGCCAAATGGCCTTACTATTAAATTCTCCCAAACATTTAAGGAAGGAATAATATCAATTTTATACTAACTCTTACAGAAAATAGGAGATTGGATGCTTGTCTTATGAGGCTAGCACCACACTGGTATCAAAACTTGACAAAGACAAAAGACAATTACAATCCGATATCCCATGCAAACTTAAAGGCAGAAATGTTAGCAAGCGAAATCCAGCAGTACATAAAAAGGATAACATACGATGGCAAGGTGCTGTGGTTCATGCCTGTAATCCCAGCACTTTGGGAGGCCAAGGCGGGCAAATCAGTTGAGGTCAGGAGTTCAAGACCAGCCTGGCCAACATGGTGAAACCCTGTCTCTACTAAAAATAGAAAAATTAGCGAGGTATGGCGCCGTGTGCCTGTAGTCCCAGCTACACAGGAGGCTGTGGCAGGAGAATCACTTGAACCCATCATGCGGAGGTTGCAGTGAGCCGAGATCACACCACTGCACTCCAGAGCAAGACTCTGTCTCAAAACAAACAAACAGCATGACATATGACAAGAAATTAGATTCATGTTAGGGATGCAAGGTTATTCAAATTTCTACAAGTAATCAGTTCATTATATCAAGTCTATAAAAAGAAAAACTGTCAATAGATGCTGGAAGATCACTTGAGAAATTCAACATCTATTCATGACAAAAACTCTGCCAACTAAGAATGGAAGAAACTCCCTACCTGATATGTGATATCTATGACAAACCTGCTATTAACTTCATACTTAGTTATACAAATGAATGTTCTTGGAAGGAGGGAGGGATAGCATTAGTAGATATACCTAATGTAAATGACGACTTAGTGGGTGCAGCACACCAACATGGTACATGTATACATGTGTAACAAACCTGCATGTTGTGCACATGTACCCTAGAACTTAAAAGTATAATCGAAAAGAAAAAAAATGGATGTTCTTTCCCTAAGATTGAGAAAAAGGCAATGATGTCCACTTTTTCCACTTCTCTCAACATTTTACTGGAGGTAACTAGTCAATGCAGTAAGGAAGAGGAAGAAGTAAATGTCATATACATTGGATAAGAAGAAGTAAAACTGTCTTGATTTTCAGATGACATAATTATTCATATAGAAAATCCTAAAAACTCCCTACAAATATCTACAAAAACTGTGAGTTCAGAAAGCTGGGGGGGCTCAGTGATAAACAAAAATTAATTGTATTTTATAGACATGGAACGACAATTTGAAAATCACAATTTAGAAAACAACACTATTTAATGACATAAAAATATTTAAATTTAACAAAATATGCATCAGATTTTGTTTGCCAAGGATTCCAAAATATTGCTGAAAAACATTCAAGAATATTCAAGTAAATAGAATGAGATAGCATAATCATAAATTGGAAGACTCAATATTATTAAAAGTTCTCCTAAAATTTATCTATGGCTTCAAAGGACTGCCAATCAAAATCCTAATCGTAGAGAACTTTCTTTTGTAGAAACTGACAAATGCATTCCAAAATCGATATGGAAATGCAAGGGCCTAGATTAACCAAAACAATTTTGAGTAAGAATAGTATTGAAAGATTTCCAGTACCTGATTTCAGGACTTACCATTAAGTTACAATAATCAAAACAGTATGATTTTGATCTAAGGCTAGACATAGCCAGTGAAATAGATTAGAGACTCCAGTAATAGGCCTCTATACACATTTGATCAACTGCTTTTTGGCAAAGGTAATTCCATGGTGAAAGGATAGTCTTTTCAACAAATAGTGAGAGAACTATTGGATACTGATACACTTAAAAATGAACTTACCTCATATTATAAAATTTAACCCAGTAAGGATCATAGACCTACATGTAAGAGCTAAAACTCTGAAAACTTTTAGATGTTCAGCTTGCTAGTAATCCAGAAAATGCCAGCAAAGAAAAGCAAGAAATAAGGCTAATCCAAAGGAGAAAAATCAAATGTGTATGGTATGGTATGATGTCTGTCATGAAATCCAAGAGATGTATTTTGTGAAAGAATGGGTAAGCTATGTCAAATAGTGCTGATAAGTGAAATAATAAAGGAAGACAAATTAATCATTGGTATTGGCAAGAAATAGGTCATTACTAATGTTGAAAAAAGCTGTTTAAGTTGAGTAGTTGGGGAAAAACATCTGATAGGAGTGGGTCATATAGAAAATGGGAGGTGAATCAGCAAATATCGAAACTTTACCCAGGAATTTAATTGAAAATAAAGCATAAAAATAGGGCAAAGGGACATATAGGGATCAAGAAATGGTATTTTGGAATAAAAGATGTTAGAACATGTTTGCGAGGCTATGGCAATTATTAAATGGAAGGAAAAAAAGATGCTCAGAAGGGGAATAATTGCAAGAATAAAGGCATTGAAAAGATGAGAGGGGATAGTATTCACTACACAGATGACATATCAACCTCTGATAGGATCAAGAAAAATTTTTTATCGTAATAGGAAGTGTAAAAGGTATACAGATTATGATGGCTGGAGGTGGTGAACTAGGTGTTGGAATGTTGAGTTGTTCTTTTATTTCATTTATTTCTCTGCGACACATCAACTGGAAGTGAGAAGAAGGAGTAGTTACTAGAGATTAGAGAAGAGGTGTGATATTGTCATATTGGTGAGTAGAAAAGTATATTTACTAGGGAAAGATAATAAGAATGTCTGAAAGTGTTGAGTGATCATTTGAGATTTGTGACAAAAAATTAGAGTTCAGTCATCATGATTTTGTCATTTTCTCCAGCACCATTCAGCTACTTGGTAAAAGAGGGGAGGACAGACCAGGCACGGTGACTCACACCTGTAATTCCAACACTTTGGGAGGCCAAGGCAGGTGGATCACTTGAGGTCAGGAGTTCAAGACCAGCCTGGCCTACATGGTGAAACCCGTCTCTAAAAATACAAAACTTAGCCAGTTATGGTGGCACACACCTGTAGTCCTAGCTACTCGGGAGGCTGAGGCAGAAGAATCGCTTGAACCCAGGAGGCAGAGGTTGCAGTGACCTGATATCGTGCCACTGCATTCCAGACTGAGTGACAGAGCGAGACTCCATCTCAAAAAAATAAAATAAAACAAAATAAATAAATAAATAAAAAGCCAAAAACAACAGCAGCAACAACAACAAAAAAAAAACCAGGGAAGACATATGATAGAATTTGAATGTTGTATAATAAGTGAACCCATTCTAACTTACTGCTTTTTAAAAAATATACCCACAAACCATCTATTTGATAATATATTCTTGTGTTTTCAGATATCAGAGTCAAAGCCAAACAATTTAATATGAATGTCATGTTTTGTAGGAGGGAAACTTTTCACAAATTCGACTTAATATGATATATTCCACTGACTAAAAGGTCTCAGTTTCAGAAAAGTTATGATTT